TAATTGAAAGTGGTCTGTTCGCGAAAAGAGATTCAAAGTAGAGCCACGAAAAGCTGAATTTTGTTTGATAATAGGGTATGGGTCACGATGCAAGTCTTTAGGTAAATGATTAGAGTAGGCATGTGTAGTGAGTTCAAAGTCAATACGATGGTTCGCCTGGAAGGTCCCACAGAGCAGAGATTCCCAAACTTTCTAGGCTCTGCACCTTTTGTTAATCTCATTTTTGACGTACCCCCACTCGTCCGGAAGATGCAATGGATTTTTGAATAAAATCAATTATTAGACCTCAGCTAGGGAAACCCTGGCTTAGAGGGCAACAACGCATAACAGAAGAAACCCGACTAATCGCCACTATGACAGGCTCAAGTCCTGTGAATTACACATTATATAATCCTTATATGCTCAATTGTTTATGATAAGAAGGGCGCACACGAGGGTTATGATTCCATATGGTCAGCCAGCGGTTACCAGTTTACTATTTGTAGTAACGATTTACGTGCGTTATATGCTTTAAAAAAGAACACAAAATACATTGAAATTTAGAAGTAATCTCAATACGTCTGTATCAGTTTGATAGCCAACATATGGAGCCCAACACGAATAATTTTGCTGTTTGGGACTGTTACATACATTTGTGAATAAATCCGCCTCTTCAAATGACTTCTTTGGCTTCGAAGGTTCAAGTCATTTCTAGTCTATCTTTGGCTAAGTGTATTTACAATATGCCAAGTATGACTCAGAAGTCAGAAGGTAAATTACTGATGCTGTTGTTATACTTAGGAATACCAAAATATATACAATTTACATAGATCACCACACACTACCCCCCATCAACATTTTATATTATATTTCAAATATCTTTCGGGAGGTTTTCTTATTCTTCAGCCAAGTGTATTTATATTATGATTCAAAGAAATTAGGAAGGATTTAATTTACAAACAAATTCTGTCCTTGCCAGCCCATTAGAAACCTTTAACAAAGTATAGCTGACCACATAGAGAATATTATGAATGTCAGTTCAAAATACATTTTTAATCTGCAATGATAGCGATGCGTACGCCCCTGTCAACTGTAGTATGCGAACCAAGATGGCGGACACCGGAACGTAGTATGTATGCCAGGTTAAGGTTAGGCCATAATTTCAGGTACAAATATCACGAGACTCACTTGGCTAGTCCCCGAACTCGTAATACGAGTAGAACTAAAAAAGGAAAAATTGATATAAAATTATGGCCTAACCCTAACCTGGTACACTTACTACGTTCCGGTGTCCGCTATCTTGGTTCGCATACTACAGGACTACCGTCCTAGTCCGCGGCGCGGTAAGCACGAGTATACTGATTCTTCGCGTCTATCTGCGTCATGTCATTTATGGTATAATACCTAGGGGTTCTCTTTGAAACAGGATTAATTCGACCAGGCCAAACGAACGAGATCTTTACACAATAGTGGGTGCCTTTGTACAACCTTAGTCACAGCACAAATATAAAAACCTCTTAAACTAGTGGTTCCCAAACCGTGGCCCGCGGGCCAGTCACGACCCGCGCAACGATTTAATTAGGCCCGCCAAACTTAGTTGAACATCTAATGTTTTTTCCCCATTTTGCGGTCTAGATACCGCCAATTGTTACGCCATTATCACAGTTTAAGCACGTGTATTATACGTAGCAGTATTGGCCCCTTGCGGGCGCTCCCCTCTCCCGGCCCGCGAATATCTTTCCGCTTCCAATTTAAGCTACGGTCAACCAACTTCGGGAACCAGTATATTTAACATATATCCTACTTGCTCAAAGGCAACCGAATTTTCAGGTTTTTTTCCTTTTTCAAACAATAATGTTTTAAATAGTATTGTCACGTAATAATAATCTGGACTTCTAAGGGAAACTCATATGGATACGCTCGTTGTTCCCGAGCTTACTGTTAATAACGGTTCAGTCGTGAATGGAGTATCTGATAATGACATCACAATTGTTGTTGACGACGTCGATGACGTCACGGATAACGATGATGTCATCGGAGATTCCGTTACCATAGAAACACTAACAAAAGAGGATTTAGGACTTGACGAGGAAGACGGAGACGACGTTTATGATGGATTAATACGTGATTTTCGAACAAAGATGGATAGCTTGTCTTTCAAACGACTGAATAGGAGCGAGCTTAGAGCTAAAGCTGCGAGTTTTCGTGCGATGAAAGAGCAAGGCACTTCAAAAAGTGAGTAAAACTGTGAATTTTGCTTAATGTGCCACCATCATTTTTATACAGCTGTTGGCATTTCAGTGACTACTCCCAAAGATGGCGGACACCGGAACGTAGTATGTGTACCAGGTTAGGGTTAGGCCATAAATTTTATTCCAATTTTTCTTATTTTAGTTCTAGTACGAATTCGGGGACTAGACAAGTGACTCCCGTAATATTTTTACCTGAAATTATGGCCTAATCCTAACGTGGTACACATACTACGTTCCGGTGTCCGCCATCTTGGTTCTTATACTTCAGAAGCACCTTTCAGTGTACGCCCTTGACTTTGCTTATTGACAATGAGCCTCTAGTGAGCGCGCGTGATCTTATTTTAAGCAAAATCTCTCGAAAAAGTGACACAAAAATATATCTTTTACAGCTACGTTTTGTTAGTGCAAAATCGTGTATATTTCACGTTAAAACATATTTCTCGCGAGTCGAATTTATCTGCATTTCCAACTTTTACGCCAAGGGCTTCTTCTCAGTAACCTCTGTTTTATAGTATAATAAATTGGATGGGCTAAAAATGCTATATCATTAATGCTAAAAATATAGGGTTTCAAATAAAGTCTTAATTTTTTTTTAATGAAACCATATATTGTTTTGGCCCTCACAGATGTATTAAATGAAGTAAAAATACTTGAACAATTACTGATTAAAAAACAACAAACCTAGTTAAGATATATTGAGAACTGACTTCATAACAAAATTGAAATTCTGAAGAGACTTTATGGACACCATGAAAATATAATTCCATTTTTATTTAGATAAAACAACAAGATTTGAAAGATCAAAGACAAGCCGACATGTGATGTTACCTGCAGTAAAATTTCAGGATCTCGACGACGAAGAAGCGTAAGTAGAGTTTGAGTCTACCAAACAAAGTTCAGATTAGTGTGATATCTCAAGTTCACGAATTAAACTTTTGGGTAAACAAAGCGTTTGATAAAGTGTTTAAATACATGGATAGATAAATAAATCATTTTAGTGGGAAAAACTCGTTGCTTTTTTAAATTTAGATGACATGTAACAAATTGAATCCTCTTTTTCGCGTAAAAACTCATTTACTTCAGCGGGTAACGAGAACCCGCAATTGAAGGGCACGTAGTTAGTATACTAAAGTCAAATTTTTATGCTTTATTTGTTAAATTGTTCGGAATTCGGAAAATGGCAATTGTTTTGGCTTGTTGGACAAATACCCTTGTTATAACAAACCCCGGATCACGATTAGTCTTTTTGTTATCTTTACTTTTACCCGGAATAAATTATAATTATGAATATTTTGTCACAGATACCGAAGAGATACTGGCGGGAGTTCTCATGACCGAAGCCGAGCATCAAGCGGAGCCAGTACAGCTAGCAAATCTGCGAGGAGATATAAACAACAGCGGTCGCAGATGAACAGAAAGAAATCAGTAATGGGAGCTATCATGAAAAGGGGAAGGTGAGAGGTTATATATATATATTGTCACCGTGTTTCCCCGGAATTTTCTTTCGAAGAATAACACTAGAGCTTATTTTCGGGGGATGTCTTATAATTTTATTTATCAAAAACAAAATTAGAAAGTACAGAATTTGCGTTATAGACTAGGACCTAGGTCTTATTTTAAGGGGGGGGGGGGGGTTTATATTAAAATCATTCTTGAATCATTCACGCTAGGTCTTATTATCAGGGTAGGTCTTGTTTTCGGGGAAACACGGTAGTCAATAACGCGAATTTTTTTTTACTTAGTCGATTGCAAGGAATCCCGCCTACACCTTTTAAATGATTGATAATCTATATTTTGCAGTTATTTTGAATAAAAACGTGTTATTTATAAGTAACTGGATGTCGGTTTTCATATTTTGTATATTTGATATATCTCATAATCTTCTACTTTGTAATTTTGTTTTTGATAAATGAAATTATAAGACATCCCCCGAAAATAAGCCCTAGTGTTATTTTTCGGAAGAATATGGAAATAGGACCCAGTCTTATTTTCGGGGAAACACGGTAGTAGTGTGGCGTTGCTAATTGCTAGTTTCGCTTAGCGTTAAAATTCTTTGCGTTGGCGGTTGACGTAACGTGACAAACGTTCAGTAACGTTATTTTAATAGCGCTTTCGAAGAGGATGATTTATTATGTAAAAAAGCAGCGTTGGAGCTTTCGCTTAGTAAGAAGAGATTTGTTTTGATAACGTTTGCCTCGCATAACAAAAGCAATAGCGTACATGCAAAAATGTCAATCTACCAGTACGCTTGTAAGATAATATAAATATTTCGATAACGTCTCTTCTTCATTGGCCCCCAGCCACAATAGCGTACGACAGGGGTCGGCAACCTTTCGTCACTTGCGGGCCAAAATTAAAGGTTGCAAGCCATTGGCAGACGCACGTATTTATAGAAAGTTAAAAACCGAACTGATGGCCGATGAATCACATTTTTTCACACAGACCAGAAGTTAAATTTCAAGCAGCGCGCGAAGATTGACCATTTGAATTATATACTCATTAGATTATATTATAACCTTTATAATATAAATTAGTCTATACATGAGCCGCACAATAAATTCTGTTACGTAAAGACTACAATCGCCGAAACAGCTGTTTAGTTACTATAATTCAGCGGAGCATCGCGTGCATCTAACAGACAGACAGACAAATACCAGCATACTTATCGAGATCAAACGAGAATATCGGTTAGAGACCGAAGACTTATCGATCGAAAGTTAGGGGATCCCAAACAGAAACTGCGGTTTCGATTCATCCGCTCTTACTCAACATCGACACCGTGTGTCCCATCACTAATTTTAATAACTCGCTAATTATACGACATAATTCATCCAAAATAGGCTCCTGGTTCGAGATATGATGAATGCACATGCAAAATTTGGAGGAGATTCAATTTTGCTCTCTTGAGATATCGCGTAACATACGAAAGTGTCTAACAGACAAACACACAAAATACCTATCAACATACTTACGGATCTTAAGATCGATAAGTAATAAGGACTCGGCAAAAAATCATGGACTTGAGTCGTGCAGGGAACTCCAATCTCGACTCATTCTCACAATCTGATTGACTATTGCCAAACTAAATCTGCTTCCGTGGTCGGACTCCTTTTTGAAATGTTTCCCGCCTCCGGACGGACCTGCTAGTTGTTACGTTCTAACTCAGCAGTTAGAAATTTTCAGAAAATGCCTTGCACCACTCTTGCACCTTGCAGTTTTGACAGGCAAAATACAAAACAATAATGCTGTTTATTCAAGTATATATAATTTATAAAAATGAGTTGGGGTGCTATGTACATCATCCAGACACTAGTTCATCATCTATTCATGTTTGACCAAGCAAGGGAAATAGATAAATGATTTAAACTGCCATGTTATCATGCTAGGCCAAAGCTGATCTGATGATAAATTCATACCTGGGCTGGCTGGGCAGCTAAATGAATGAAAATGGGGGAGGGTGAGTCAAAAATTATGGATGTTCAAAGAATTTATTTAAAATGATAAAGGAATGAATAGTACTGGCTGGTTTTCTGAATTGAAAACGTCAAATTGACCATGTTTTTATGTTGATATGAAATGATATTTTACTCTGTAGCGTTTGATACATATATCATGATTTTTATAACTCTGAGATCAATTTAGATTAATAAAATATTCATGTTATTATTTCATCTGATGATAAATTTTTGTTTAAATTAACATTTTTATGGAAAATTCGCAGTTTTGTGCGGAGAAATTGAGTCAGTAAAATTTGATATTTTTAGTTATCTATCCTATTTGATTAATTTAGAATATCCAAAATCGAAAATATGGATGATATAAAATTTTGGAACATGAAACTTAAAATATAAAATCCATAGTATAAAAATTAGTTTGGCTCGACGACTTCTTGAGCGATTTTAGGCTTGTTTGGATTATTCACACTAAGCCAATCTGCAAGCCAGGTAACAGCATCTTTTGGCTTGACTTTGCAAAGTTCTGTCATGCCTTTGAGGAGGGTAGAGTTCACAGAGGATTCTAAATAGTCTTTTGCTGAAAGTTGGGTCAAAACTGGCTCCAAAATGGCGTCATGAAATAGAAAATGGATTTCTCTTTCTGCCATGTGAAGGTTAGTGCTTCCATGGACTGCATTCCGAGTTTGATCTTTTCCGTAACTGTCTCGAAGCGATCTTGGGTGCGTTTCTCGTGCCTTAAAAGGATTCGCAGGTCCGATGAGATTTTTCCAGCTTTCAATTGCGTCCTCTTTCGACAAAACCATCACAATGATAGGAGCACTGCTCATGTACGACACTAAACTCGGGAAAAACATTTTCCCGTAATGGTCGACGTAAAAATCGCTTGCTTGTTCAGGAGATAAATGAACTTTTCGTTTCTGTAAAATCATAAATCCGTGACGTAGGATTATGTCTTCGATTTCTGAGGCTTTGTCCATAGCATCTGGCTTAATTATTGCCAGAGTTCTTTCAACTGTTATCGACATCTTGATTGGGTTTGGTTTAGATTTCTTAGCATAAAAGTCTCTGTATATTGAATAAAATGATATATTAAGGGCGTTTTATATTTTAATAAATTGGGTGGGCTAAAAATACTATATCATTAATGCTAAAAATATAGGGTTTCAAATAAAGTCTTAATTTTTTTTAAATCACAGTCTTATTTTCGGGGAAACACGGTAGTAGTGTGGCGTTGCTAATTGCTAGTTTCGCTTAGCGTTAAAATTCTTTGCGTTGGCGGTTGACGTAACGTGACAAACGTTCAGTAACGTTATTTTAATAGCGCTTTCGAAGAGGATGATTTATTATGTAAAAAAGCAGCGTTGGAGCTTTCGCTTAGTAAGAAGAGATTTGTTTTGATAACGTTTGCCTCGCATAACAAAAGCAATAGCGTACATGCAAAAATGTCAATCTACCAGTACGCTTGTAAGATAATATAAATATTTCGATAACGTCTCTTCTTCATTGGCCCCCAGCCACAATAGCGTACGACAGGGGTCGGCAACCTTTCGTCACTTGCGGGCCAAAATTAAAGGTTGCAAGCCATTGGCAGACGCACGTATTTATAGAAAGTTAAAAACCGAACTGATGGCCGATGAATCACATTTTTTCACACAGACCAGAAGTTAAATTTCAAGCAGCGCGCGAAGATTGACCATTTGAATTATATACTCATTAGATTATATTATAACCTTTATAATATAAATTAGTCTATACATGTGCCGCACAATAAATTCTGTTACGTAAAGACTACAATCGCCGAAACAGCTGTTTAGTTACTATAATTCAGCGAAGCATCGCGTGCATCTAACAGACAGACAGACAAATACCAGCATACTTATCGAGATCAAACGAGAATATCGGTTAGAGACCGAAGACTTATCGATCGAAAGTTAGGGGATCCCAAACAGAAACTGCGGTTTCGATTCATCCGCTCTTACTCAACATCGACACCGTGTGTCCCATCACTAATTTTAATAACTCGCTAATTATACGACATAATTCATCCAAAATAGGCTTCTGGTTCGAGATATGATGAATGCACATGCAAAATTTGGAGGAGATTCAATTTTGCTCTCTTGAGATATCGCGTAACATACGAAAGTGTCTAACAGACAAACACACAAAATACCTATCAACATACTTACGGATCTTAAGATCGATAAGTAATAAGGACTCGGCAAAAAATCATGGACTTGAGTCGTGCAGGGAACTCCAATCTCGACTCATTCTCACAATCTGATTGACTATTGCCAAACTAAATCTGCTTCCGTGGTCGGACTCCTTTTTGAAATGTTTCCCGCCTCCGGACGGACCTGCTAGTTGTTACGTTCTAACTCAGCAGTTAGAAATTTTCAGAAAATGCCTTGCACCACTCTTGCACCTTGCAGTTTTGACAGGCAAAATACAAAACAATTATGCTGTTTATTCAAGTATATATAATTTATAAAAATGAGTTGGGGTGCTATGTACATCATCCAGACACTAGTTCATCATCTATTCATGTTTGATCAAGCAAGAGAAATAGATAAATGATTTAAACTGCCATGTTATCATGCTAGGCTAAAGCTGTTCTGATGATAAGTTCATACCTGGGCAGCTAAATGAATAAAAATAGGGGGGGGTAAAATGATGGATGTTCAAAGAATTTATTTAAAATGAAAAAGGGATGAGAACGTCAAATTGACCATGTTTTTATCCTGATATAAAATGATATTCTACTCTGTAGCGTTTGATACATATATCATGATTTTTATAACTCTGAGATCAATTTAGATTAATAAAATATTCATGTTATTATTTCATCTGATGATAAATTAGTGTTTTTATGGAAAATTCGCAGTTTTGTGCGGAGAAATTGAGTCAGTAAAATTTGATATTTTTAGTTATCTATCCTATTTGATTAATTTAGAATATCTAAAATCGAAATTATGGACGATATAAAATTTTGGAACATGAAACTTAAAATATAAAATCCATAGTATAAAAATTAGTTTGGCTCGACGACTTCTTGAGCGATTTTAGGCTTGTTTGGATTATTCACACTAAGCCAATCTGCAAGCCAGGTAACAGCATCTTTTGGCTTGACTTTGCAAAGTTCTGTCATGCCTTTGAGGAGGGTAGAGTTCACAGAGGATTCTAAATAGTCTTTTGCTGAAAGTTGGGTCAAAACTGGCTCCAAAATGGCGTCATGAAATAGAAAATGGATTTCTCTTTCTGCCATGTGAGGGTTAGTGCTTCCATGGACTGCATTCCGAGTTTGATCTTTCCCGTAACTGTCTCGAAGCGATCTTGGGTGCGTTTCTCGTGCCTTAAAAGGATTCGCAGGTCCGATGAGATTTTTCCAGCTTTCAATTGCGTCCTCTTTCGACAAAACCATCACAATGATAGGAGCACTGCTCATGTACGACACTAAACTCGGGAAAAACATTTTTCCATAATGGTCGACGTAAAAATCGCTTGCTTGTTCGGGAGATAAATGAACTTTTCGTTTCTGTAAAATCATAAATCCGTGACGTAGAATTATGTCTTCGATTTCTGATGCTTTGTCCATAGCATCTGGCTTAATTATTGCCAGAGTTCTTTCAACTGTTATCGACATCTTGATTGGGTTTGGTTTAGATTTCTAAGCATAAAAAGTCTCTGTATATTGAATAAAATGATATTTTATGGGGTTAAAAATTTTGCCCATTTAGACGGGATATGTTACAAGTGTAACATAAAAAGTTACGGTACATTTTATGGACAATATTTACAGTGTTACAAATGCAAAAGTGGAAAACAAGGCTCGTGCCAAAACTAAGTTTTATCCAAATCTCAACAAATTCCTTGAACTTTTTATTAGCTAAAGTATCAAAATTTGGTTTTGTTGCCGGCCAGCATCAGGCGGGCCAGATTGAATAACCAAACGGGCCATATTTGGCACACGGGCTGTAGTTTTCCCATGTCGAATTAGACATAGACTTTCCGGTACTCAAAATTGAATTTTATAGGATTTTTATTATTTTACGATAGAAAATTATTCTTTGAATTCGCCAAACCTATCATTCAATGTAATCTTCTGTATATTTGGTTACAATGAGATATTAGTGCCGTATAATAAATTTGAAATTGAGAAATATTCAGAAAGACTTTATTTGTACAGTACAGATGTAAAAGAATTTGCTGTTTTTTTTAATTTGACCATAAAAATCATGAGGTAAAGCCAAATTTTACCAAAGATAATAATGATATATAGCTGGCATGGGCAAACTACAGCCCGTGGCCCAAAACCGGCCTGTTGGGTAATTCAATCTGGCCAATCAATTGTTGTGAATGTTCACGTCACACTTACATGGCCCGCCAGTCTGGGTGGGCATAATTTTTGGCTCCTGATCCAAAAGCCTAGCCTACCCCTGATATATAGCATGAAGAGATTCAGATGATTTACTGAATAAATGAATGAATTGTAGGACAGGAACTTAGAAATAAAGAATGCTATACTATTTGGACTCGAAGATACAGATGAAAGTAAAAAATTAATCAATCGGTTAATCAATATGATAAAGGTCAACTTAAAAATATCGTATTTATGCGTTCCTTATTATGCGTTATTGCTAGAAATAGCCATTACATTGAAAGTCGGTCGGGAACCAATAACAAAAATTACAATTATGAGCTGGGTTGCGCAATACTAACTTTCTATGCTTCTTCTGTGGTTTAACCATATCAATATGAAATAAATAAGACTATACAATTCCTAAGTCCTGCAGTAAAAAATTACAATGCTCGATATTTCATTTTCTAATTTGACAATAAAACTTTGTAAATAGCATATTATAATAATCAGATCAAATTCTTAAATTAATCGCTAAGAGAAAAATAAGAGAATGAAACCTAACGCAGAGAGTTAATTCAAAAATGCATCTTATACCTCATTTTTGACAGTTAACCTGACAAGAAACCTTATATTTAAACTGTCTTTTCGAAATAAATATTGAAATCATATCCCATTCAATATACACACTCATAATTATAGGTAATGAATGCTTTATTTCTTTCCAGATGATCAAATTATTAAAAAAGAAAATTCAGGGAAAAGTTTAAAAACTGTTCACCAAGTTTCGAAAAGTAAAATAGGTCAACAAATTAAAGTTGAACGCCGAAGTAAAAAATACAAATCGAGACATGTTTAAGAATTCACATATTTAATTCAAAAACGAGACGTAACTAGGCTATTCTTTATTAAATTAGGCAGCAAGAGGGCTGGACGTACAGACGTACGGTAACCTAAAACCGGGACCGTAACCTGAAGTTACAGCATTTTACAAAACCTATCCACGCACACATATAACCATGTCTGCTCAATAAGACAAGATTCTGTAATATAACAAAACCATTACTAAACAGAATACCATCTAAAATAATCGTAGCACCTGCACTTTCACTCAGAAGTTAGCCAAATACGGCATTTGTACTATTCCTATTCTGCACCTATAAGTTATCATCGCGTAACCACGGCAACAAGGTCCAAGTTTTTTCACACTCGAATAATTTTTCGCCTCAACAAATCTTGACGGACTTTTATGAAATAATTCTATAGCATATACCTTAATTTATGAATAAACCACGACCCCATTTTTACATATCGATGTTAACATATTTAAATGTCTGACTTACAAGATTTTTCATGTAAAACATTTTGAACAAAGAACTGTTGCTTGGCAAAAGATGCCGACATCGAGCACGGAGCCTCATTATTTGTGACTATTCATGTGAAACGTTAAAGGAAGGTACACGAGTCTTAGATTCGTTTTAGCAAATGCCAATTATACATTCACGTAGGTATATATATTTTACAGCTATCGTTTTCGTCTAAATATATACGTATTCATCTACTAACATTGTATATCTATTTGTTTATAGCCTACTTTGCCAGATACCTCCATAAAACTGCGTTAAACTTCGCTAAATCGTTTTATTTTGGTGGGCGGTTGGTGGGGTATCGGATTACATTTAACCGACAAGATGGGAAGGGTAATCGTAAGGGGCCGCATTCAGTGTTACGACCTTTGAAAGTATACAAGCACGCAAACTCCTCCCACTTCATCATTTTGTTTTTAGTCAAAACGGTGAAGACGCGCGAACATTTTTGATTCAAGCCTCCTTTTTTTATCGTTCCGTAACACCAAACATTTTTAATGAACCTATTTTCATGTCAGCCTTGTTAACCAGGCATTGTATAACATTGATGCTTATATCAGTGCATACAACTCAATGGTGGGTCTTAGGCAGTGGCGTGTCGATGCAACATGGCGCCCATGACAAATTTTAAGATTTTGCCTTCTTAATTACTGACTGACAATTTTTAACGACTGTTAAATTGAGATAGTTGTATGTTACTATTCGAGTAAAAATACGAGTTTCAACTAATTCCGTATTAAAATCATTTTATTGAAACATTTCACGATTAAAATAATTCTCCTTTTACAACGGTATTAATTTTATGTATTTGGATAAAAAGAGGGCCGAGAGAGAGAGAGATTTATTATTTGTCAACCAGAAAAAACAAATACAATGATAACAAGAGAGCTATGCTCAAATATATGGACACGTAGAGTCACATAATTTTGATGACGCCATAGCGAAAAAAAAGTAATAGCCTTCTGGAGAAAAATTTTATCTTTCACCACTGAAAATTTCAAAGCAATTGGTCCAGTATTCAAAGAGAAAAGCGACTTTTTAAAAACGTGTCAAAGAACAAGAACAACAACAACAACAACATAATATTGAAACGATCGTTATGTCCACTTCGTGTCCAATAATCATAAATATAAAGTAATAGGAATAACGTTTTTTTGGTAATATTCTAATACCCCAACGGTACCAATTTTTACCATTATATAAAATCTTTTGTTAGTTAGATTTACATATTTATCCCGGGGGAGAGGAAAGCCGATAATACGGCTTATCCATATGGCGAACCACGGCCTCCCGTCCGGTTACCATTCCAAGTCGGGTATGGGATTAGTTTTACTGTATTGTTTGTTTTCGGAAGCATGGACTTGGTGGTGGAGGAAGCCGTAACCGACCAGCGGTTACGTGAACCACCCAACGACGGCGAGGAGTCCAGCAATCCTCTCGCACATAACCATCCCTGCATGGGAATCGAACCTGCGAACCCACGCAGAGTAATTAGAGGTGCGGTGGCGAGCGTATTCCTAACGCTTAACCCGTTGAGCCACACCGCCGCGCCCGGATATAATTTATATAATCTATAGTCGTTTTAATTTTAAAAGCTTTTACTCGCTAACAGCGCAAAATATTTAATAATTGGTAATTTGAGCAGATACCAAAATTAGTAAATCGTTCAAGAATAGGGTAAAATGGTGTTGGGAAAGGCGTATGAATTTATGTCGCACTGCAATTGCCCCAAAATTGCATTTATAAAAATATATTAAAAATTTGACTATGCTTATGAATGGTACCGGTACTGTATTGCATTACTCCAAGCACTTAGCATTAAAGTCCCAATGTTTGTATCATAACCCAAATGATCCGTAAATGGCATTTCCGCTTGAATTCAAGTTTATAATTTCAAGGATGGGGTTTATTTAATCCCATTCACGGCCGCGCATGTTTACTATTTTTGATTTCGCGCTGAAGCACAAAAATTGAGCGTCTGAGATCTTTTCTCCGAATATTGGGTCAATCTGTTTCAAATTTTGCATGCTTGCAGATGAAAGGAGTCTCTAGAAAGCTATTGATTTAGGCGTATATTTTATTTAAATTGACTTCAAAGGCGATTTTGCGTTTTTCTGATAAACATCTATAGTCGCTGGAGATTTCATTCAGTAATCGGTGTTTATTTTTCTCACCATACTGGAAGCACACTCGATATACAAATTGCAGTAAATAAAGGATGTAGGCCCAAAAACATTTCAGGGTGAGGGGAGATGTGGAAAACCAATATTGGCTATCGAGCAGCGGCAACTTTGTTGAAGCATAATAAATAAATAAATATGGTTTACAAAAGTTTACAATATCGGTTGGGTACGTCTTGCTGAGTTTCAGACCATGACCGATCTTCGAGGGATTTTAAATAGTGAGAGAGTGAGGTCAATTAGCTGAAAATTCTGATTTATTGTATATGTTAAAATTGGCAGTCTCAGAATTGTATACAGGACTTCAATTATACGCTCATTTGAATGTCTGCAGAGTTGTCCTATGGATCGATTTTCAAAAATGTTGTTCATGCACGGGTGATTGGGTTGTTGTTGCGAAAAATTCGCACACGCCTTTTTACCTATTTCAAGTTTTGGTTTCTTGTATCTGGAAGAAGTTTCTATTACCTCAGACCTTGGCTTGTAGTAGTTTAATGACACTCTGCATCACGGCTATTCAACTATTTTTTGTGAAGATCCGCATACAAAACTTCAAAAATTTAAGAATCCGGTCTTTCCAGAAATTATATTTCGGTATTCTTGAAGACGCACTTCCTCGGCCGACGAATAATTATTAGCTAATCAAGATTGTTTATTATGGCGTTAGAGTTCTTCTCATATATATTTAAATCTATAAAAGTGATTTTATAAATAGAAACTTCAAAATTGGAACATACCTCTTAATAATGTTGATTGGTCATAAAATTTCTGATATATTGTA